AAAAAATCAGTGTGATCTAAAATTTGATAATGAGGCAATTTTGATCCCATTACTCAAAAGTGATCAGCTTACTCGCGATGAAGTATAGTGGATGTTATAGTAAGCGTTTATCTATATGCACATTTTTACAGACCGAGTTCACCAAAAGTGGCTTTACAATGTTCAGGAGTGTGTTCCATTCCCCTCCACACTGGTGTGACAGAGGCTGAACCAAGCTGGTCCAATCAAAGCCTCGACCAAAATCACCGTCCATTCACTCACTCAATAATATGCAGACCTATTGAACATATTTCTAGTGTAGGGAAACCGGAGCACCCTGTTGAATAACCATGCCGCAGACAGTTGTGGAGAGAACATGCATAACTTCCACTTCACAAAGGCCCTGTTCTGATCGGATTCGAGCCCAGGACCTTCTTGCTCGACAATGGGGACAACGAAAGATTGAAAAATGGTTTCAATATCAAAAGAGCAGTTCATGAAAACATCTGAATTCATATTCAATATATTACAAACTATTTTGTAATGGATTTGTCTCGAAGGTACTTTACAAAGTTGTCAATTCGGCCACAAAAGAAAGAGAATCAAACTGTTTGAAGACGGGAAATACAACATTAAATAACCGAAAGGCATAAGAACGACTTAAAAAAAAACCCAGAGAGAATAAGTACAAAACCTTGCAGTGGTCCGTGTTGAGAGAAGAAGACAGGGCTTTGTTATCCCAGGAGCAGGAATGGTAGAACAGAGGACGGGTCTACACTCGAGTCCTGCAGAGAGGATTCAGAGCCATGTTGTTTATGGGTCATCTGACTCCTGTGGTCCAATGGTTTGTTATTATATGCTTTTTTATTGTAGTTCTACTGATCCGAACAACTTTGTTAATTGAGTACTAAACTATAGTAAAATTCCCGCGAGACGACTGCTCGTTGTAATTTAGAGGCAATGCACAAATACAATGAAATGTCAATCTGTTGTATTTTCGTAGTTATTTTGTATTTTATGTATTGGAGTTCTGCTGGGGGCGGGTAAGTCAAAAGGTGTCCAGAATGACGTGCGCTGACATGTGCAATACCACCCCGGGCCTGTGGGGGTTGGACCCGGATTAAGAATTAGCCACATGCTAAACAGTTCCCCTTGTTTTGTCGCTGTGAATTTTTGAAGTCACTCGTTTAATATGAATGGAGCCCGTGCAGTGACACGGGAGATGAGTTTTTTCTCATTTTCCAGCCGCGCGGCCGTTTTGAATGCCCATCGGGCGCAGATGTTAGAACGCGGCGGTAGATAGGCGTGACTACGTTCGTTAATATTTACAGTCTGTGTTCTGCTCCCTTTCACCTCATGGACAGTATGCTCATTCGTTTTATTCTGCAGTTTGAAGTACATTTCAAGAGCAATATAAACCCACAGCCAACGCTTGCCTCGCCTCCTTCTAATTGTTAGTGGCTTAATCTGATAGAACTCACACACACACACACACGCACACACACACACACACACACACTTCGAGTGCGGGCTTAAATATAAGTGATTTATTCTGCGACTCCTGGTGAATGAAGGCTTGTACGGCTGCTAATAGCGGCCTCTCAGACCGGGGGAGATCCTCTGTGATTGAGCAATTATGACAAGTCAATTACTTTCATTCAATTATTTTCACAGCTAATCCACACTACCTCTTCATCCCCAATGCCCCATTCACCGATGCTTTTCCTCTCTTTCCGTGCACTCGTCCAACCCCAGCCGACTAATGCGACCTCCAACAAGCTCAAATCTGTCAATCTCAACCGGTGGCTGTCTCTCTCTCTCTTCTTTCTTCTATAGGGGCTATAACCACAAAGTTCTCCGGGATGGTTGTCTAATTTTTTTCTTAATTCGGTCTGACAGTCGCCAGGGCATCGAGGCGTCGCCGGGTTTGGATTCTGTGGGCGGCGCCCTGACAAGGAGAGCTAGGTTATGCGTGAGTTATATGATTTGGCTAACTGTGCTAAGTGACGATCACGGGGCCGCAGAAATGTGTGTGCAAAGTGGAGTTAATGGAAGGGCTTGTGACAAGATAAAAGAGAAAAGAAAAAGATGGAGAAAAAAAAGAGAGAAATTGAGGAGATGAAACGGATCAGGGTTGCTAAATAGCAACAGTAGCATTGGGGTCGTTGCTGAGAGTAATGTGAGAGATTGTCACATGGACACTGTGGCACTTTGAATGGGATTTCTTTGGATTTGCGGAGAAAGACCTGTAACTGGGTTTTGCGGAACAACAAAAACAAGATTTCAAGATTTATAAATTTTGATATCTTTTGAATAAGAAAGTGTACGGCTGTTGTTCTGTATGAAAGGGAACAGCCAATAATTCCCTTTGGCTAACGTGTCCACAATTTGGTACAGAAATCAGACTAAAGATTCTCCAAGTTTAACATCTGCATTTAATTATCTTTACAATCAGATACAGAATATTCAACAAAAGAGCTCCTATTCTATGCCTGCTCTATCCCTGTGCGTTGCCCCTGTCCTGTCTGACCTCAAAACCCTCCGAGGGCACATATACGGGAGACTTCCGATGACGTCATCCATACGCGTCCAAGGGTGGGGCTTTCCGGGTGTGCTGACGTCCCTTGTCCACTGGGAGGCGTTAGAATGCTGTTGGTAAATTCCCTTTCCGCCTGATGGTGAGGGACTTTTGCTCTGTCAGCAGATAATGTTTATTATCGAACGTTAATAATTCGCCTTGTTCAAAGGCGATATCTTTTTATAATTCCCGTCTGCTTATCCTGTGTCCTTGTGACTTAATCCCTGAGGGCACAGGTCTTTTTGCTTGGGAAAGAGACAAGAGTTCAATTCCGGGTCAATCAAATTCACATCTGCCTTTAGTCTATATTTAAAATATACAACACTGGTGATTCGTGCTCGTTCGATAAGACCAGAAAGATTTGTTCAAAAAGTGAGTGGTGGTTCTTTCCTAAAATTTGGGAAAATCCTCTCTACACTTGATACATATTCAACATCTGTAGACAATCGTGTTTCACATTTTTGGTCCCCGAGAATCAGATTTTTGTTTGAACTTCTACTAACTTGGTGGAGAAAGACGTCCAAGGATTTCAATCTGGTTCATGAAATACAAGAAGTAAGTAAGTCAGTAATCTTTATTTAGGGTGTATTCAGACCTGAAAAGTCCTTTGCTCCGCTTGCTTGATCCGAAAGCGGACCAAACTCTTTTCTTTTGCTCCGGTTTGTATTCAGACTGTCCTTTTTGCAAGTGAACTTTTTTATATAAACATATTGACACGTGTGACGATCGGCTCCTATTGGACAGAGAGAGCTCACGGAGGATAGACGCGGAACCGGCAGAAAACATTGAGGGCTCGTATGTGCAGCATGTCTGCTCTGCCTCTGTTTGCTCTTTTTAGAGCAAAACCACCTTCAACATCAACAGCAGCTCATATGACGCAGGCCAAACACGTTGTTTTAAATATTGGAACAGCGTCGGAGAATGCGTGAGGAGAAAGCCGAAGGAGACTCTGTCTGTGCGCTCCGTGCCCTGTCCCACACATGGATCTATGATAATAACCGCCCTGTTCAGCATTGTGGATAAACCATGGATCTATAATAACCACGGGACAAACAGACGCTGAGGATCAGGTAGGAACCAAAGAACACAATTCACTACATGATGCGGAATATTGCTCTTTGAGACGTGAGTCAAACAGTGTCAGGCTTTAATAATGCAAATGGTTTGAAGATGCTGCCATTAACATCAATGTATACTGTGAACAGTTTTAACTCCATAAGCCTGTTGCACAGCGTCTCCTCACTGCTCCAGGTCTGCACACGGCTCATTGTTGTTGTGTAGCGTTAGCAGCATAGTTAGCCGCTGCACGGCTAATTCCTCACAGTTTCTGTCTGCGGCTTGTTAAGCCCAAACAATGCGCACGTATCTTGGAGTTGTGTCGGATTGACACCGGATGTATTCAGACCTGATTCGACTTGGACCAGAATTCGTTTGGAAGCGGACCGAGACCACCTAAAAAAGTGGGTCTCGGTTCGGTTCTTTGGTCCGGACCAGGATTCGTTTGTGTGTATTCAGACCTGCATAAAAGCTTCGGATCAGAGTTCCAAACGAATCCTGGTTCGTTTAAAGTGGAGCAAATGTGCAGGTCTGAATACACCCTCATAAACCGCCGTTCACAGACCAGAGTCTCAAAGCGGTTTATAATTGTTATTTTTTTCGGGCATTAGTCTCTCACTCCACACAGAGATGGGAGCGGGGCCAGTACAGAAGGCAGACCTATTGTGTATGTTTTTAGTGGTAGGGGAAACCGGAGTACCTGGAAGAAACCTACGCAGACATGGGGAGAACATGCAAACTCTACCCAGAAAGACCCTGTTCTGGGTGGAGATGAAAAAAAGTCCTTTATTCGTCCCACAATGGGGAAATTTCAGTTTGATGCACACACATATACATACACACACACACACACACACATATACATTCACACACACACACACACACATATACATTCACACACACACACACACATATACATTCACACACACACACACACACATCAAGGCAAGCAGCAAACATCACTTCTGCGCTCCTTATAGCCAACGTGGGTAAAGTGTCTTGCCCAAGGACACAACAACAGCAAACATCAGTGGGTGTCGGTGGAGAAGGTCTCGTGGTGGTCTCGAACCCATGATATTTGGGCTCAGAGGCCAATGCTCTACCAACTGAGCCACTGTCGCCCCAATACTACATCTTTATAAAAGTTTCATAGAGATGATCAAAACACATTTATGAGAAACTAAAAGATTATTTTTCCTTTTTTTATGTGTATCTCAGTGCATGGAGTTCACATTTAACAGAATTAGACAAACAGATACATGTATAGAGAGATAGATGGATGGAGATAGAGAGAGAGGTGGAGATAGATGGATAGTAGATTGATAGATTTTGGTTGATTGTGTTCTCAACTTTGAAATAAACATTCGATAACTTGATATTCATAAAATCAGTCAGGGATATCACCAACAACTCCTATCCACTTCTTTATGTACTGTGGAATAATCTCATTCACCGGGAACTTCACAAAGACACAACAAGCTCCACTCAGACTGATGCTGTGAATCCCGGGGATCCGACCCGCATCCCTCCCTCCCTGACTGTACACACCTCACGCATTACCATCAAATAATGAAAAAGACATGAAGCAAAAACAGCCAGCAGTGTCAGAGGAGCCCGGGGTATTCTCTGACCGCACTGGGATTGACACAGGTCAGTCAAACAGATGCAGATAAAGACATTGGCGCATAAGTGCATAAGCCAAAGCGCTCTGAGCAGCTGTTTTGTAGATACAAGAGTTCAGCCCAGCGAAGTGGAGCCAGCCGGAGGTTTCGAGGAGGTGTTGAGCTGGATCAATGGTTGCAGAGCCCATGGTCTAACCTGTTCTCATCCATATAACATCTCTTTACAGACACTGCTCCTGTAGCCATATTGTGGGCCTCTCTCCTCTTGTTTATTCTCCTCACCGGTAGAGCTCTCTCCGGAGGGGCCTGATCCCTGCCTGCCTCCGGGGCGCTTGCTCAGTGCTGTTAAGGAGCTGGGGATTAGAGAGGTCGGAAAGGCGGGCCACCTCCACGGCCTCGCTCTGCCCTGGATCGATCGCTGTCCACTTGTCAGAGGAAGGAGGAGTGAAGGCCAGAGCAGAGGACCTGTTGAGGTGGGAGGTGAGCGGCTGTATGGGCTGTATGGGCTGTGGAAGACGGGGAAAACAGGCTGGAGTTGCTTGTTAGCGAGGAGGCAAAGGCAGAGTTAGACTTTGTATTGTATGAAGGAGATGTAGTGAGTAGTTAGTAGTAAGTCAGGGTTTTTGTCAAACTTGTATTTTTCATACGGCAAGACAAAACAAACGAGATACAGACGTTTGAGTTTGAAAAGGGGTTGGACAAAGCAAATGTTCACACAATACACACACACAAACACACACTTACTCATACACACACAAACATTCATCATTCGCTCCATATGGACCAATGGCTCCTAAAAATATGAATGTGTATTTGCTCACTTTATTGTCCCCGTGGGGAAATGTATCCTGAACGGTTTGATTCTCTGATCTGTTGTGGAGGAAGCGACAACTTTGAAAAATCCCCTTTGAAACCAGTGCTGTTGCAGTTTAGGGCAACACAAACACATTGAGTTGAGCTGAAAGTGACTTTAGCAACATGTGATGAAAGCGAGAGGACAAATACCCACAACAACTAGAGATATTGTAAAGCGCTAAGTAAAAGGTGCTAAATACATCACCTGCTCACTAAACTGAAAAATAAGATGTCATCATATCATTTTTTACCCCTTTACCCCTTAATCCAAGCTGCACCCAAATCCCACAGCCCTGGCTCCTGATTCTCCTGCAGGCGGTGGGTCCATAAGAGGAAGGATGCTGCTCCGATGAAGATACAGCCTTGGTCTTTCAGCGGTGGCTTCAGGCAATGTGGGGTTAAGTGTCTTGCCCAGGGACACAACAACAGCAGACTTCAGTGAGAGCAGGTGACATGGGTTGTGGCGGAATCTAACCCATGACCCTTGAACTGAGCCACTAAATAAGAAGTCTCATCATCAAAAAATTTCAAATCACAAAACTGAGATTGTCGTCAAAAACTACTTCCAGAGAAGTTGCCAGAAAAGTAAACTAATCACTCACTTGGAAACAAAGTATCCCATGATGCCGAGAAGTGCTGAGAAGAATCCAGGCGGGTCAGCTCACTGTACAAATAGGGTGGCAAACAAATTTGCATGACAAAATTAAAAATCAATGCATTCTCGCTCACCTAATGACCAATCTCCCCAGCGCTGCTCCTGGCTCTGATTAACATTCTGGGAGGTTCAGGAGAAAATGTTAGAGCAAAGCATTAATCTCTCTCAGCAAAAAAGCTTGTATCTTCTGACAGGTGGGTCAAAGTTGCCGTTTAATCTCGCCCATAATTTCTGAAATGTGCTGACAGAGCGTGTTTTAATACATTCAAACATGGCTGTGCTTAAGAAAGCTCAGAGCGGAACACCTCCACAGGAAGCGTCTCTGTCGCAGACTCTGGGACATGTGGGACAAACAGGAGGAAATAAATCTGATTATATTTTTATTAAAGAAAACTGTACAGAATTACACTCGGCACACCTCTGGGATGAACGGGAGCAGCTTAAAAAGAGGGCTTTATATAGAAAACCACGATGGAAAAGTGATCATTCCTTTTGACGTCTGATGTTCAGTTTTATCTGTCGGCCGGACGTTGAGGAGACATTGGCACCGGTCTGAATTGAGGAGACATTGGTCTTTATCTTTCTAAAGATAGATAAAGAAAGATTGGCACCGGTCTGAATTGAGGAGACATTGGTTGATTATCATATATGTATAATGGACTTTTGAAATATATCCAAATGCTCAGAGTTTCACCTGTAAATCATTTGGTGATAAACAATAATCAAACTAGAAATGCATAAAACTAAACTAAACAAACTGGTAGTAAACCACAGTATATTTATTCTAATTCAATAACAATTGGACTGACTTAAAACTATATATTGGGGGAAAAAAGAAAGACTGGCTCCATGATGGAGTATTGCAGGGGTGTCCAAACTTTTAGCAAGAGGGCCACTTTAGTTCATCAGACTGGACCTGGAGCCGACAAACTGGATTTGAGCTGGATTGACTGGATTCTGGAATTACAAATGGGTTATGATCAGTGGGGGCGGGTCCCGGCTCAAAAGTGGCCAAAATGACGGGCGCTGACATGCTGCAATACCACCCCGGGCCTGTGGGGGTGGACCCGGAAAGGGAATTATTCAATGCAAATGTACGTGTCTTCTAACCTCTGGAAAACGTCTTTACAGGATGGTCCAAAAGTTGGCTCTTGGCCCAAAGCTCCGTTCCACATGTGTGTCAATGCTGAGGGGGGTGTTCTGGACCAGTCTAGTTTAGTCGCTGTGAATTTTTGAAGTCTCTCGCATGCGCAGATGTGTTTTTTCACAATTTCCAGCCCCCGCGGCCATTTTGAATCACTACATGAAAGCCCAATTTTTGGCCCATTAGTTAGAACGGCGGAGATAGGCGTGACTACGTCTGTTAATATACAGTTTATGGTTATGATTTGTCCTAATTGATTCACGCCACAGCTGCATTTTATTTTGAATGTTTTGACAATAACGTCAACAAGTGGATTCCAGAGGCTCTGAGATTTACAACATGGTCTACCATAACTGTATTGGTGAAGCTGAAGTTGGTTGGATGACATTGTCAAAATGCCTCAACGAATTAGCAGCAGAAGGGCCGTATAAAATACACACAGAGGGCCGCAATTGGCTCGCGGGCCTGAGTTTGGACTTTCCTGTTTTAATGCAACAATGCGATACTTCTCTGTTGTATCGTGACCCATGGTAAAAAGTCTGAATTGTGCGTTAAACTTTGAAAGGCCCGTCGGATCAGAGCCGTGATGGTGTTGAACCCGCCGTGGCCTGTGTGTGGTACATGTATTTATGAGCTCGATGACCGGCACTTGACTTTATAGCCATTGGTGAGAAGGTGCCGCCGCTGCTGCTGCTGCTGCTGCTGCTGCTGCTGCTGCTGGCCCTATTGAAAAATGTGTCCCTTACCTCTTGGCCAGCCTGGTGGAAATAATATCACTCACACTGAGAGATCATGGTGTCAGGGTCAATTGTCCTGCAAAAGACGGGGGAGATGGGAGACACGTATTGATTTTTCATTTTGTTGGGGTAAGTAAGCATGTTGAGGCCGGTCACGCGTGCAACGAAGCAGTCAATGTGCCGCAGCGCTCTTCCAGCCCGTCGCCCCGAGAGCCCAGGCCACTCCCAAACAAGGATCGCAACAAAAAATAAAAATAAAAAAGCATTAAAAGTATGTGAATGTGAGCTGCCGTGTCCAGAGTTTGCAGGAAGTGTGCGACGTGCGGATTCGTGTTTTCATTCTGCTCAATGTGTTTTTGTGTAGATCTAAGTCACAACTGTAGTTTCTCAGAGGACTTTACAAAACATTGGAATTCACCAAAACAGAGAGAATCAAACCGTTTAAACTTAAGAAATAAATGATAAAAACTTATAGAGATATTGGTCCTTAAGCAGTGTTGGGCAGAAGACTTTAAGAATGTGTTTTTAGACAGATTTTTTTGATACACATGAGAAAGTGCGTTGTCGCAGCAGCTCGCAAAGTATTAATAACAATAACAGTAAAGTAACAATCTTAAAATAATGATAATAATAATAATAATTTTGTTCCAGAAAACTGAATACTTGACCTAAAATGTGTATAGTATAGCAAAAAGTAGTACCTGTAATTCTTAAAAAACTTTTTATTATTATTTGTATTATCTATATTTAAATGAATGTTTATCAATACATGTTTAAATAAATAAAACATGTTCTTTTCGTATATTTTCGTAAAACAAGTCAAAATTCTTCAATAGCTGTGTTTAAAAACCAGAAAAAATACAATCTTCACTTCAAGAAATGCACAATGTTTTCTGTTTTTTAACCTTAGAAACGAAATGTGAGAAAGTGTGTATTCCCCTGATTTTCAGAAAGTAACTGTAATCTAAATACTAGACTTTAAAGTAGTGACTGTAACTGTACGGGGCTATATTTTTCGGTCGTAATGGAATACAGTAACTATGAAAGAGTATTCTGAAAGAGTTATGGCGATACATGTATTCTGTTACTCCCAACACTGGATTTAAAAAAGCAGAGACCAATGTCCAATTAGAGCATTGGCCTTTGGGCCTGAAGGTCATGGGTTCGAGCCCACCGTAAGACCTACTTCACGACTCCCACTGATGACTGCTGTCGTTGTGTCCTTGGGCAAGACACTTAACCCCACTTTGCCCAAAGCCCCAACTGAAAGATCTCAGCTCCTGTGGACTCACCACCTGCAGAGGATCAGTGAGAGGCTGGTGCTCTGTGACTGGGTGCAGCTCTGGCCACCCCCCCGACCCAGAAGTGGATTAAGGGGAATAAAATGGATGGATGGATGGATGGAGAGACCAATGTCCATAAATGTCACACATTTTGATAAATGTTGATTAATGTGGAGTTTCCTGGGTCCTCACCACCTTCCTGCTTCAGCAAAGGAACAACTCAGATCAAAAAAACCCAGTGGAAAAGAAGAGCAGTTTTTTTTAGCGTGAAGGCCCAACAGGGGGAGGTGGGCTGCGTCATGCCCAGAGAGGGGTGAGGCGGGGCGGGCAGAGGAGCTGGCTGTCGCGGGGTGCAAACAGAGCTGCAGGTCACAGACGATCTCACTCACGCCGACAGCTACAAACTCTGAATACATCAAGACCGGGGATTTCCAAACATTATATTTTCGATCGTAAATTTGGAGCATGCATTTAGACAGACGTACGTGGACTCTGCACTTGTCACGCATCTATTCCAAGTTTAGAAATGACTGTGTTTTGAAACTGGTTTGAACCTTTTTCTGAATTATAATTTTACTGTTTATCCCTAAACTTACATTAAATTCTCTATAGACCAGAAATGTCAAACTCATTTTGGTTAGGGGCCAAAAAGAAAAAGGTGGTCAGGGGCAGAATAACATTGGTTTTCTTAGTGGAAAGTTATATATCTCTTTTACATATAAAGAATTCCTTTTTTTTTCTGGTTGATTTTTTGCCGAAAATGTTCCATAAATAGTACTTTTTGGACTTTTCACATGTCATTATTCATTCACTCCATACACAGTGGTGATAAACTACTACTGTAGCCACAGCTGCCCTGGGGCACACTGACAGAAGCGAAGCAACCAGTCTGTGCCATCGGCCCCTTCCACCACGGTGGCTGAGTGGATAGCACTCTTGCCTCTCGGCAAGAAGGTCCTGTGTTCAAATCCCAGTCGGAACCAGGGTCTTTCTGAGTGGAGTTTGCATGTTCTCCCCGTGTCTGTGTAGGTTTCCTCCGGGTACTCTGGTTTCCCCTACCACTAAAAATATGTACAATAGTTCTGGCATGTGCCTCCTGTACTGGCCCCTCCCATCTCTGTGTGGAGTGAGAGACAAATGCCCAAAAATTAACAATTGTAAACCGCTTTGAGACTCAGATCTGCAGTGAAAAGGCGGTATATAAATAAAGATTACTTACTTACTTACTCACCACCACCAACCATTCACACACACACCAGACTCATTCTAATGTGGGGGAAGTGTCTTGCCTAAGGACACACGCACAATTAGACACTTTACAGCCGCAGCCGCCCCACTGTGGCACCTGCTGTTCCCAGAGGTCTCCCATCACAGCACTAACCAGACCATGCTTGTACTCACCTAAAAAGCGTACATTGTTTATTAGTAGTAATTTTGTTGACAATGACAACGTTAAAGACATGAATCTTTCAAAATATGGGGTGAAATATAAGTCTGGAGCCTCAGGACGTCGGTAAGAGGGGGACGGGCACCAGACTTTTTAGTTTTGAAATGTTTCTCCGATTCTGATGTGGCTGAAGATAAAAACATGGTCAAAAAAAGCGTCACGTGAAGAAGATGGGACGAGATCTCAGGACATTCTGTTTCAATGTGTGAAATGATCTCGTGAGACTGAAAAGGGCTGCTACAATGACACAACAATGTCTGTATGTGTGTATCTATGAGTGTGTGTGTATGTAGGTGTCTGTATGTGTGTATCTATGAGTGTGTGTGTGTATGTAGGTGTCTGTATGTGTGTATCTA